TTTAATTATTTTGTTTCCTGGTTTATAATTAATTAAATTAATTATTTTGTTTTTTTGTTTATGCATGAAGAAACATATACATTATAGTACTTCATGATAAACTACATTTTGAGTATATTTTCCATTAGCCGTGATGATTTGAAGATTTTGCTTGGATGTCACTCTAGAAAGAGCCACATAGAGCTGGCCATGAGAAAAGACAGGGTTGGCCAAGTACAGTCCTACACATGAGAGGCTTTGTCCTTGAGATTTGTTTATGGACATGGCAAAGGCAAGACGTACAGGAAATTGTTGACATTGGAGCACGAAGGGTAAGTCTACTGTAGTTGGAGTGAAGGTGATGCGAGGAATGAATACTCGTATTCCTATATGTGTTCCAGTGATGATCTCTGCATTGATGACATGCTTATTAAATCCATGGCAAATGAGTTGAGTGCCATTGCAAAGTCCTTTAGCAGGGTTGAGGTTTCGGAGAAGCATTATTGGTGCTCCTACTTTGAGTTGTAAGTTATGGGGAGGAAGACCATTGATATTTACAGAATTAAGAAATTCAATAGGGTAAAGGTGGCTTTGGTCATTGTCTTGATGAGCAAGGGAGTCAGCACTGAGAAACTCTACCATCTCATTGTTTGAGAAAGTGTGTAAAATAATTTCATTGATCATGTCCACATCAGAGTTTTTGGCTGCGAGGATGCTGCGGTTTACAATATATTTAGTGTCCAGGAAATGAGTGCTTAATTTGGGATAAACAAAATCAATGAGATCCTGAATAGAAGTGGAAGGGAGCACTATATCATCAGGGAGTTCAATAATATTTGTTTCAGCTTCAATGAAAGGTATTCTCCCTTCGCCTACTTGTAATAGCCAGTCAGCAAATTCCTGTTGGATGTTAGCATCTGTTGCTTTAGCATTCTGACGCAGACGCATATTTATTCGAAGGTGCATGAGCTGTACATGTTGCCAAAGTGGGGAATTACAGAGGGATGCAGCAATGATTTTTTCACGGTTTGCTTTAGGTACGACTGGAAGAACTTGGCGGAAATCACCTCCAAATACCAATATTTTTCCTCCAAAAGGTTGATTTTTTAATTCAGGATTTACAGTTTTCATGATATCACGGATTGTTTGATCAAGTGCTTCAATTGCATGTCTGTGAGTCATTGGAGCTTCATCCCAAATGATCAGATGTGTGTCTTTTATAAGAGTTGCTAGGTCACTGTGGTGGGAGATATTGCAGGTGGAGGTTTCATTAAGATTGATGGGAATCTTGAAGCGAGAATGAGCAGTACGACCACCACTAAGTAAAAGTGCAGCTACACCTGATGATGCAACAGCAAGGGCTATTTGACCTTTGGAACGTACAGTGGCAAGGAGTGTATTGTATAGAAATGTTTTTCCTGTACCACCGGGACCATCAACAAAGAATGTTGCTGGACGTGAATGATCAATAGCATCAACAATAGTTTTGTAGATGGTGTGTTGGTCTGCGTTGAGTTGATGAATGGCAGTAGCCACTTGGTCATGCAACAATTCTACATTGTAGGTAAGTTCTTCTTGTATACACCGACTTGTGTGGACCATGGTGCTTTTGGCAGTGGGAAGGGGCATCGGAGGAAAATCAGTAAGAGATTTGTTGTGTTGTGAGAGAATGGATTGTAAGTGATGGAGGGCATTATTGTTGAGCATTTCAGTAGACATTTTTGAAGTTCTTAGGTCATCTGTTAGGGAATTGAGATGTTTTTTCCAAAGATGTGCAGGATTTGTGGGATGACAGAAGAGTAAAATGGTTGCAAAAAGGTCACGTAAGCATGCACTTGATTGCATTAATGTAGCTTCCTGGAGACATTCGTCCCATTCTTTATCATCTTGCAATAGACCCAAGGCTTGACAGGCATCTTTGAAGGTCTCACAAATCCTTCCATTGACAGTTCAAAAGATGTTGCACCATGTACTGCTGTAAGAAGCATTCGTAGGTAATAGCATTCTCCAGCACCTGGATGGATAAAATATAGACGACCAATAGTGTTTCCACGTTCTTGAGGTTTCCACTTTTTTGATTGCTTTTTCCACACCCATTTTTTGGGAAAGTCTAAGTAGGTGAGTTCTTTAGCATCATTGGAAGAGGCATTTGTGGCAAACCCTCAGTCAGTGTGGTTTTGTCAATACCTTGGCGCTGTATAATCACCTCTAAGGGTTGATCTTCAGAAAAGATTACATTATGTTGGCCTGGAAGGTGTACTTGAAGTTGTTGGACATCAGGTTTTTCTTCATGCAAACAAAAGTGAAAGATTCGCCATGTTGCCTCAGAAGCAGATATATAACATGCATCTATATAGAGACGAATCTCATCTTGGAGTTGGATGTTGATTGAACCAGGACTCCCTGAAGAAGTCATTTCCACAACTGCATGATCATGGCCCTTGTAGACATATTTGTATATGTATTTAACTGCAGCAATAGAAGAGCATATCTCAACATTAATGTGAGCATTATACTTGCTGCAGAGGTAAAGGTTATGAGGGACAACCCATCGATTATCTAAACGTAATCCTTTTACCATGGTTGTGCATCCATCATTTCGTCTTCTATAAGTAGGATATGCATTATCATCCATGATGGTAGTAGAGTTAAATTCACGGGGATAGCGTTTTGAGCATGTGCCATCTTTCATGCAGGGAGCTTTTGGGTTTAAAGCTCCACATG